AGTTCCTACTATCTCTGATATAATTTAACCCTAAATTGTTTACAGCTGATGTTTTTATAATCTAGATGTAGAACAGTACAAACATCACACATATACATGAAGATACTTGGGATTTAAACCCTTTTCATCTGATGCTGGCTGAGTCTCTTCCTCTACTAACCCATTTCAAATTTGCTTCTTATAAAATTCCAAGTGATCTCTGCATCATTATAATTTAATCATCTCCTAATTCTGTGTTAACGTTGACATTAACCTGTTATTTAATTATTTGTAACACTATATTTTTACGATCATGATGCAATAGAACAGACATAAATGCATTATATCTGTATAACTATATTTTTTAATTGGGTGGGTAAACGTGAAGGATGATTGCCTGGAATATATTGTTTATGTGAGATATTGAAACTGTAATTACTTCAGGCTATAGTTACGTTATCACTCTTATTTGTCTGCCGCTGTTTATGAAGATACCATTGGTTTTGTTTCGGGAATGGTAAATAAATGATGTCATAATAAAAATATTTCAGTGCCTTGTATTCCTGGTTTATGTGAAGCTAACAGATTCTAGCATAGCACATGGCAAGAAAAAAAGGCTTTCAAAACGTTGTCAACATAATGTGATTTGTTATCTTTTAATCAATAACTAATGACATTATATGTATTCTGTGTGATTCTGAAAATGAAACAAATAAATTATTTTGCTTCCAGCTGGCCAAGAATGTAGGAAATATCAGTTTCAATGAAATTCTGGAAGCCAACCTACCGCAACCATCACCAAAGCCAATTCCACATAGTGACATGTAAGTAAAATTGTAAACAGTGATTTAGGAACTGAACTGAAACACAGATTTATACATTATTTAGGTTAAGTTTATGTTTTTTACTTCAACTGCTTTCCATGTCCCAGAATTGGTTTCAGTTCAATTGCCAGCAAATCAAAATGATTTCCGTAGTATTTGATGTCATTAACAAATACTGTTGCCTAAATAGGTGGAGAAGGAAGAGCACCTTCTCCTCTAAGTACCATTTGAACACGAATACACAAATAAGATACCTTCCTGCAGTCAGCAAGAGCAACAGCAGAGCTGAATCAGACCCTACCTAGCTGTTGGGCTGAGTTTGAAAAGAAAACCAAAAGTGATATCACAGAAAAGTTGTGAATTGACTGATAGTTAAGGAGCTGCTTTGGTCTTTAAATTAAGTAGTATTTAAAATGCAAGAAGTAAAGTAAGGCCCCTAGCACATATTAAGTATTGTATAAACTCTTCATTGCTCGGACCATTAGGTTTAGGATTTGGAATGTCGTGTTGCAGTTGCGCAGGAGGTTGGCGAGGCCACTTTTGGAGCACTTTGTACAGTTCTGATTGCCCTGCTATAGGAAGGGTATTATTAAATTGGAGAGAATGCAGAAAAGATTTACAAGGACATTATTGGCACTGGAAGGTTTGAGTTATAAGGAGAGGCTGGATAAGCATAGGGCAGCACGGTGGCTCAGTGGTTTGCATTGCTGCCTCACAGCGCCAGGGACGCGGGTTTGATTCCATCATTGGGCGACTGCCTGTGTGGAGTTTGCACGTTCTCCCTGTGCCTGCATGGGTTTCCTCCGGGTGCTCCGGTTTCCTCCCACAGTCCAAAGATGTGTAGGGTAAGTGGATTGGCCATACTAAATTTCTGGTAGTGTTCAAGGATGTAGAGCTTAGGTGGGTTATAGGGGAATGGGTCAGTGTAGACTTGTTGGGCTGAAGGGCCTGTTTCCACACTGTAGGGATTCTATGATTTGAAAAGCCAGGACTACTTGTCACAGAAGTGTAGGAGGTTGAAGAGTGACCTTATAGAGGTTTGTAAAATCAGGAGGGGCATAGATAAGGTGAATAGCCAGGGTCTTTTCCCTAGGCTTGGGGAGCTCAGAACTAGAGGGATAATGTTAAGGTGAGAGGAGAAAGACTTAAAAGGGACCTGAGGGGCAACTTTTTCACACAGAGTGATTCATATATGGAGGACAAGGAGATTGATTGATTAAGAGTGAAAATAAAGTATGAGAGTAAACTTGCAAGGAATATAGAAGTGGACTGTACACGTTTGCATAAGTATGGAAAATTAAAAAGATTAAGTTGCTACCCAAGTTGATAGGGTTGTTAAGAAGGCTTATGGTGTGTTGGCTTTCATTGGCAGGGGAATTGAGTTTAAGAGCCGCGAGGTTACACTGCAGCTCTATAAAACCTTGGTTAGAGCACACTTGGAATATTGTGTTCAGTTCTGGTCACCTCATTATTGAAAGGATGTGGAAGCTTTAGAGAGGGTGCAGAGAAGATTTACCAGGATGCTGCCTGGACTGGAGGGTAGCTCTTACGAGGAATGGGTGAGGAAGCTAGGGCTTTTCTCATTGGAGCAAATAAGGAGGAGAGGTGACTTGATAGAGGTGTACAAGATGATGAGAGACATAGAGTGGATACCCAGAGACTTTTTCCAAGGGCGGAAATGACTATTACGAGGGGGCATAATTTTAAGGTGATTGGAGGAAGGTATAGGGGAGATGCCAGAGGTAGGTTCCTTACACAGAGAGTGGTGAGTACATAGAATGCGCTGCTGGCGGTGGTAGTGGAGTCAGATACATAAGCGACATCCAAGCAACTCTTGGATAGGCACATGGATGATAGTAAAATGTAGGGTATGTAGGGTAGTTTGATCTTAGAGTAAGATAATAGGTCGACACAACATCATGGACCAAAGGGCCTGTACTGTGCTGTACTGTTCTATGTTCAAATGGTCTGAAATAGGAAAATCGATAATGGAGAACAAGGAACAAGGCATATGGACGAAGACACATAACTTCATAGAAATTCTAGAAAACAGAGTCTAGTGGGAAAGAGGAAGTGAAGGATATTAGTAAAAATGTATTTCTGGAAAATTTAGTAGGACTAATAGCTGAAAAATCCTAGGGCCTGATAATTTACATCCCCTGACCCTAAAGGCAGTGACCATGGAAATAGTGAATGTGTTGGCTGTCATCTTCCAAATTCTGTACGTTGTGGAACAGTCTCGGCAAATTGGAAGATGGCAAACATAATCCCACTATTTTAAAAAAGGAGGGAGAGAGAAAGCAGAGAACTGCAGACCAATTAGCCTAACTTCAGTGATATGGAAAATGCTGGTGTCTGTTATTAAAGAACTAGGGGGACTTAGAAAATATCAGTGAGATTATAAAAGGTCAAAATTGATTTGTGAAAGGGAAACTATGTTTGACAAACAGACTAGAGTTTTCTTTTGAGCAAGCAACTAGTAGAATAGAAAAGAGAGAGCCAGTGGATGTGTGTGTTTAGATTTTCAGAACATTTCTGATTAAGTACCACATAACCTAGTGTGGAAAATTAAAGTACAGGAAGGAATAGGGTGTAAAATACAAGCGTGGATTGAGAATTGGTTAGAAAACAAGAAACAGAAATTGAAGTAAATAGGTCTTTTTCAGAGTGGAAGGTGATGACCAGTGGGGTACTGCAAGAATCACTCCTTAATGCCCCAGTTATTCAGAATATATATCAATAGTTTGGATGAGGGAATCAAATGTAATTTTTCCAAGCTTGCTGACAAAACAAAACTAGGAGGAGAGAAATTGCAGGACTCATCAGGTCTGCTGGCATCTGTAGAGAGAAAGCAGAGTTAATGTTTTGACTCCAGTGACCCACCTTCAGAACTAGACTTTGCTGCATCCTGACCCATTTCCAGAGTGCTGGTAAAATCCTAGTCTTTCTTTCAGAAAGGATTATTCAAAGGCTGGGGACAACAACCACACAGCTTGTTGTAGAATAGAATTGCATCCAGTGTCCATTTATCACTGTTCTCTTACCATGGTCATGTGTGTATTTTTTTCTTGTCACTAGTTTTACTTATAAAGCAGTTCTAGCAGTTTATCTATAGTAATTTAAAAATCAAATACTGGTGGGAAGTATATCCTATGCACTCATAAGTGCATAGGATATACTTCCCACCTGTTACTTCACCATGCCATCCATGAATTCTTGGCCAAGAGGAGAAACAAACAAAGCGGAAGAGGAGCAAGAGTAAGAGAAGCAAAAAAATTTACAAAAAATGGGAGATTAATGACCGAGACAAAAACAGCAATTTAAAATTGACAAAAATAATATTCAGTACTGTATTATACCACAGTAGATCTAAATGAAATAAGTATGAAGAAATGTGTTTTAATCCCATTTGCTTCCTTGCTTTAGTTGCCTCCTCTTCCTGAGTATTCTTCTCCTCTCCTCGTGATCCTGATTAAACATACCTTCTCCTAGCTTTGGCAGTTGCATTTGAAGAGCTAAACTTATTTTTAACAGTGCACTTTATAGAAGGAGCTTTGTAGTTCATTGGACTTCTGTTGTTCGCAGCATTAAAATTGGTGGTCTTATCAGATACTGCTGTGCCATCTCTGCTACCTGGATTTCAATCTAAGCTTAGTTGATGACATGAAATGGTCCCATCTGCCTCCTCTAAGGGTTGAGGAGAAATCTAAAAATCTCACATCCAGCACATCCTAATTGTCACAATTTTGTCACACCTGAATGTCGGTAGAATGATCTTAAATTTTAGTTTAAAACAAGAATGTGCTTATCTTTGCAGGCTTTGCAATGTTGGGTTGCACTTAAAAGAATTTAAGAGTTTAACACTTTCAGCAGTTGCATTGAATGAAAGGCATTATCAAAAACTGCTTAAAATTTGCCAGCATTGGCATTCTTTTGCATGGGGAGAAAGAAAACTTTACAACTGTCTTTAGGGTTGATATTTTATCGGGCAGCGTAGTAAATTGAATGTTCCTCTGCTTTACATCTGAGACAGGAGTTTTTATTTTAGTTGACTAACTGTTTTGATGAAGCAGCAAACAAAAGATTGCCATTGGAAAACCAACAATGTTGAAACATGTTTTTAATTCAATGCCAACATTCATGATCAAAACAACTAAAAACAGTAAAAAGAGCAGCAATTTTCAAACTGTAGCATCCTAGTTCATTAACCTAACTATAAATTTTCAAAAATACAATTTGTTTTACAAAATTGCAATCGAGTAGAACTCTACTTTCATTCACTTGAGTTAATAAAAGCAATAACAACATTATAAAATATTTACAATATATGGCAACAATTTATTAAAAGTGCCATATAATTAAAAAGGTTAATAGACTAATTAATCAGCATGTATTTAGTATATTCAGGTAACACCCCTGAATTATATATAAAGACCTATCACTTAGATGTTCTACTGCTCCTTTGTATCTTTATTTGCCAGAAAACTATGATATGTTATGCAACAGCATAGTTTGTTGTCTTTTTAACAGGACTGCACGTAAAGAATACATACATGCAAAATATGTAGATCATAAATTTGCCAAAAGGTTGTGCACCTCTTCCTTAGCTAAAATGAATGAGTTGTTGGAATCTGTGAAGTCCAGGGATTTACTTGCACTAATTCAAGTCTATGCAGAGGGAGTTGAACTAATGGAGTCACTACCAGATCTTGGACAGGTGAGAACTAATAACTATTTTAACTGCCTAAGATTGCACTTTACAGTTCTGTATATGAAGTGAAAATGTAACACACAAATGCTGTGTTTTTGATGGATAAGCT